TTCTCTTTGTAAATAGTCTAGTATAAAGCACTAGCTACATATTACAAAAAAAGAATAGACACTATTTGTTGTAGGATGCTTGAACTCCTCTACTCACATTAGGGACACACTCTTGAGTCGACTGTAAGTATAAGTTCTACTGGTCCAGGTCATACCTGGACCGGACCTGGACTGGACCTCAGGTCCGGTCCAACAGCGGTCCACAAAGGTTCGGGTCCAGGTCCCTCCTTTACCCGGACCGTATGAAGAGGTCCGGGTTACAGTCCAGGTAAAGGAGGGGTGGACCGGTCCAGAACCGGACCACGGCAACTATAGTCCGACCAAAACGCAAAACGCAAAACGCATGATTATTCTTAGATTATCAATTATTATGTAGTAATGGAAAACGCCTGAGATCCGCAATTTCAGGCCGATATTAGTGGCTTGCTTCTAGGACGTGTTTGTCGGAGGAAGTACTACAGGTCACGGTATAAAATGACGACTTCACAGCTGAATATGTAGCTGTGTACTTCCTCTTCTTGCACGCAACAATGAAGCTTCCAGTCTGTACTATTATTGCCTTGCTTATTGCATCCTCTGCTCAGGCAGTATCAAATATCAAGATCTCTCCGTTCGCCTGCTCTTTTCCTACATTATATATTAAGTATCTTATAGTATGCTTGCTTATAGAACGACATTAAAGGAGTGCCAGAACGAAACAATTAGCTGGAGTGGAGGTACAGGTATGTCCTTATCTATGTGCTAGTCATTCTACTTGCAGACAGGTTGCTTTTACAGGGCCTTTCAATGTTGTATGATAAACTGTATAGCTGTCTTGGTTGATCCACTCATATCTGTGTGAATTTGCTGCATTGGATCATAGACGTGAGTCACATCTACATCTGAACATAGTCTATATTCTTAACAAGTGCCCACATTCAGCATTTCTTCTAAACTCGAAAGAGAAAGTGCTGAACTTGGAAAAGGATCATTCAAGTATGCATGGGTGTTGGATTATAAAAAAGGTATTATCAAGCAGTAGCTTTAGCAATGTGTACTAAACAATCAAATGAATAGGAGCAGCACTTACTGTGACTGTACGAGACAGTGCAAATGGTAATGTAACAAGTGCAAAAATAGGTACAGTGCTGGCTGGAAGTATGTCTCATGAGTTTATTATAATACTATACTGTATTATACTGACTAATATTATAGATCCTAATGCGTGTAAACTTCGCAATTAAGTGTGTTTAGCTTAATACATTAGCATTCTACTTGTGTAAATAGCTGTCAAGGCCTGCACTAGTTTGTACTCCTGCCATACAAGAAATGAAATGTGTAAGGCTTTAAACACTATTGAACAGCTTGGAGGCAATTAATATATGACACCTCCATCAGTTTATTAAGCACTTACAGTTATTAACATGTTAATTCTGATAAGAGTTAATTAAGGATATTCAAGATACCTGACACAAAACTATACAGAATGTGTTGCATATATGTATAGAAAGCTATTAGAAGCTTTGTCACCTTCCATTAATAAAGTTAAGAGCCGTACTTTGTATTATAGTTCATGCTTCAGTCAGTGTCCGTGAAGATACACCAAATGATGGGTATTCAGATACTGTTTGATTAGGTGGTAGAGATGTCCAATTAACCACCCAATGACTTTTACAAGAGTTGGCAATTAACGTGATAAAGTCACATCAAAGGCCTTCATACACTTGATCAGTCATTAAGGAATCTCTATATTGTTAATGATATACACTGTAACATTGGAACTTAATAATGTGACTGAACGACATCATTTAGTTGAGCAAAAATTGTTGAAATAGAATATTAGAAAGAGAAAAGCGAGTCGGTGGCACAACTGGGCATCGCATCCGCTGTTGAGGGCCGGCATTCTCGCGTGCTGGATGTAACTTTTGACAACGTGCCAGCCACGGTTGTCTCGGCCCTCCATCTCTGTTGTTGGACACCTCGCTGAAAGAAAATGTCGAATATCGACGACCTGCGACGCCAATTCTACGAAGACGATGACAACGACCCCTTCTCGTTTCCAACGAGTTCAGGTTCAGGCACTGCTTCTGCTTCCGACGCGAGAACGCACGGGGCATCATCATCTGCTCGTGTCCAGCCGTGTCCTCCGCGCAATGGGAGGCTATCATCTGAGGGCACAACAGGATTATCGAGCCGTAACTCGAGGAAGAGGCCGAGCGCAAGCGCGAAGGGCAAGGCAGTCGAGACACCGTTTATGACACGTCTGAGATCTGCCGTGGATGACGATGATGGTCTCGGACAACTTCCTAGCTCCGAGGCTACAGCTGTAGATGCAATGGACGTTGATTCTAATCATGCTCCACGAATAAACCGAGATCTGTTGGATACGATTTCCAACAAGAAAGATGACATCCAACATCTGACACGGGTCTGGCAGAACGAACGACATGCTCCTGATATACTGCCTGTAGCTGCTGAGCTTCTTAGTCGTATACTTGACTTAATAAGACGGCAGGTGCGTACTTAATGCATCATATCTGTTAGACTCCTCTTATAGATAATAATTTTGGACGCAGATGAGTGCGGTGAATACGTTGAGGAGCGCTGATGTGACAATGAGCGAAGAGGACCATTACCGCACAACTCTTGTACAAACCGAGGCTGAGCGAGTAAAGTTCGTCATACGAAGCTATGTCCGTACACGATTATCCAAGGTTGGTCAGTACGTTTCTACTCGACTATACCTTTCAAGTGATCTCGTTCACCGCTAGATCGAACAATATTCCGCTTATATTACGTTACATAAAGAGATTCATCCTCGACTCACTGAATCGGAGCTGCGACATGCGCAGCGGTAAGCTTGCCTTGTTTCCCCATTTCCTCCCTCCTTTCTATATGCCTTATTTGTCTCGCAGATACGGAGAATTAGTCGTTTCGCAGTTTAATACAACCGTTCTCGGCCATCTACCCGAACCACAACGCTACCTCGACGATGACACAACAGGCGCGGTACCGAGCATGAGTACGTGTATCCCACTATATACTGTTCCGGATGCCGAGTTGATGAAAATTCTTTTTCAGTACCCGAACCTGACAAAAGTAAACCTGTATTCTTCCACGCATTTGACGCAATTGAGGGCATTCAGTTAGACGAGTACGTTCTCGTTCTTTCGAGCTGGTGCATTCTCAGTTCTAAAATGCGCACCAGTGGGACTACAGTAGCAATCTCGAAAGACACAATTATGCTCGTTCCATACCGTGTTATTGAGCAAAATCTCCTTCGTGACGAGGGCGAACTCGTATAGACACCTACTCGACAATTACCAATTCGTAGCCGAACGTTCAGGATATTATTTATCGGATTCTGCGGAAGCACAGTATGTATGCATATATTCATATATTTTTAGCTGTGTCGTTGCTTTCTTGGTTTTTGCATCTAACTGTTGTACACATTCAATTGTGCAAAAATCGTCTGGCCCATTACCACGTCAAACTTCAATGGCTCGGATGAAAAAAAAAAAAAACTGTCAGCTACGATCAGGCCTGTTGCAAGTGGATTTTGCACTTGTTCCATTGATGAAGAACTTGCTGCTCCCCTCTTCTGCGTTGGGTCTCCGCTAACCTGTCAGGACGCGATTCATCTCTGCTTTCCATCTAAGGAACTGTGTCAACTTGTTGTTTGAGAGCAACGCTTCAATGAGCTGCATATCCGAAAGCACTCAGATGGCTCAGCAGAACTAGCGAAACTCCTGAAAAGTCGCCCGTATCATACGGACTGTAATCTACATTAGCTCCTTTGAAATATTCTTGCACCATACTGTCCATATCCAACTTGCCGCATTTCACGGACTGTCAACTCCCAGTCGCCGGTAAACTCGCATAAAGATCCATGCATACACATGTCTTTCCTACAGTGATTTCCTACGCAGTCTTTTAAAAAGTATAAATTCATCAGACCTGTTAAGACTCAAAATTCAGAAGCTGAAACCCCACGACCGCGTCTACTTGCGCACGTTCTTGGTACTTCCATACTACTCTAAAATATCTTTCTACAATGTGAGTCTTTGCTATCCTCCTTTCTCTTGCTGGCGCTGCCCTGTCACAACGTGTTTCCATTGGTGCTCCTACGGCAGGCCAAACGTTGACTGCAGGAACAAACACCACAGTTTCCGTCCTAAAGCAGGTGGGCCTGCATCTCACGTTTATCGATCCTGCTCTGAATCGCTACTATTGCAGAGTTCGTTGAGCCCGTCCACAGAAATAGGCTTTGCTATCCTCGTTCGCCACTGCTCCCAATCGCCCTGTGAAGATACTTTGCAGCAGTAGAGTACCTTCCTCTGCTCAGGCGGCTACAGCACCCAGTTCGGGAGGCTTCTTTGGCCACAACTTCAGAGTTACGGTTCCTGGAAACTTCACGGAAGCATCGGCCGTACTCAGCATTGCACTTGTACAATTGCTTGGTGTGAGTAGCGGCTAATATCACCACTTCTAGGTTCGACTTGAGCTTGACGTACCAATCATCTTTCTAACGACTCGGAAAAAAAATTTCAGGCCACAAATCCGAGAAGAACAATGTTCCGGGCTAGGAGCTGGGACGTATTCTGTGCAGAAAACACGAAGTTTTTCTCCGATCTCAACGACTTTTCACGATATATATTGCTGAAAGGCAAATACACCCGACTCAGACATGAAAGTAGCACAGCACGATGTAACTGAGCAAAGAAAAGCCAAGTGACGTCTGGCCTGTCATTATACTGCGCGGCTTCAGGATGATAGAAAGAAGAATTGTAATTATTTGACTAGCTATTTCTCTCGGTGTAAATTAGGGTGAATCCAAAAGTTCGGGAGGCTCAGCAGGGCCTTTAGGACTGGGACCACCTCGATCATCCCCATATCTAGCACACCTACAATTTAATATTGGGGGTAATTCCATAATTCTACCTAATTCTTGCCGTCTTTTCCAGCCCATATCGACGGAGAACTCCAACTCTTTTCCAAACGCGTTCTCCAGTACTATTTGCGCATCTTTACGAGCTTCCCTCTGCGATGTACTTTCCAGGCATTCGATTTCCACTCCATTGGGATCTGTCACTGAAGATGATTTTCCATGTCAGTCCATGTTATATTCGATATTGAAAATGAACGACTGCTTTACAGATGAATTGGAATCTGTGAGGTACATTGCCTGGCTCTGCTGTGACTATCCAGCGCACATTCCACCCCTCCTGACGAGCAACTAAGCGTACTTATTAGGATAATCAATTTAGGAGTACGAATATAGCGTACAAAATCTCAGTTCAATGTCATGATCTAGAAAACCGACGGTTACAATGAAGACTATACAATTATGCCTTAATAACACATACAGGTCACCTTTAGAGGTTCATCGAGTGGCTGGATCAAACTGTTCATTGAGTTATAGGCTTTCTTGAAGCACAGATCCTCGTGACCAGATGTCCAAGCAAATAACTCCATTTTTTCCTCGTCCTCATCAATAGGCCTGTAGACTGAGATTTCATTTATGTCAATAAGTGTGCATCTATCAGTGAATTTATCGCCAGAAAGAGACATACCGAGCAGTTGTTCAGTACGAACGAACTTCCATTTCAGATGGGGAAAATTTGAGTGCATGACTAGAAGAAAGCCATTGTCACATAATGAATCCATAGTTTCTGTATTGCATTGGTATCTTGCACGTACACTCGACGAACTCCCGCTCAAAATCGTCTGGGCCGGTGCGAATAGGAAATGATGTTGGGGTTATCTCGTCTACGCCTATGATGTCCATGGCTGATCCTGGCTCTGCAGAAGAATGACAGGGAGACGTTGGCACACAATAGATGCAACTTGTGTGTGCGTGCACAGCTGATGATTTTATGCAACTAGCGCAGGTTATCATGTGCAGGACCTGCAGGTAAGGCACACTTGGGGCGGCAAGTATCGTGCCACGGCCCACGGGACCTAACGACGACGGAGATTCGGTGAAGTCGGAAATTGTCCAAAGACTTTCAGGATTTGACTAATGTTTATTCTGTTATCGATAGATTGGTTCCTCGTAGATACGCAGTTCGTAATAATAACCGAGTGTTCTGTATAATAAAACGTTGTGACATCAAGATCCGAGTCTCTAAAATACAAGTTACCGAATCGTCCGCCTTGACTTTTCCAGTCCGTCGATGGTGCAGATATGTTTCTATTATTCAAATACATTTAAAATACATTTCGTCCTTTGAATTTCATGATGCTGTTCTAGGCGTTTTAGTTTGAATCCATTAGAAGCAGGGACCTTTTAAATACCGATTTTTGGATCGCCTGAG